ATACAATATTTTTAGAATATTGTATGAATATTATTTACCCTTTTTAATATTCATATAACATTCTAAGAATAATGTGTCTTCTAGGTTATTATTAATATTGTATTTATAAAGTTATTTTTATCTTTCCTTTTTTCCAGCTTATTTTCAGCCTATTCTTAACATTAAATTTGTATTAAATAAAAATATATAAAAATGTATTATATTTGACGGGTGAGTACAGCACTCCTTACTCGTATTAGATACTTCACTGAGAGCGCATGCGCACGAAAAGCGGTCCGTATACCATCACTGATCTAAGTAGTGTATCAAATATGGTCGACAATAATGAGAGAGAGGGACCGTGGGAGACGGCCAATCTCCCTCTCATTCTCTCTCCCAATACACCATTGAATGGAAAGCGATATAAATGGCCGTCTGCCACGGTCCCTCTCTCTCATCCCTATCGACCATTTTGACACACGGATCGCGCAGTCCATTCTCTATAGGTCTGTTCTTTTTGGCTGAACTTCTGCACCAGTTCATTTTTCTTCCTTTTCTCTCCAGGAAGAAAGAAGAGGAAGAAAGATGAACTGGTACAATAGTTCAGCCAAAAAGAACAGGCCTAATGGTACGTTTCCACCACTGAGCGCGTCACGCGTCGCATCGTCCATCGCGTGACGACGCGACGCGAAAGAGAGAAAGAGAGAGGTTGTGTACATATATAAACTTCACTCTTTCTCTCTTTCGCGTCGCATCGTGACGCGATGGACGACGCGACGCGCGACGCGTGACGCGCTCAGTGGTGGAAACGTACCATTATGGCTGCTTTCCTTTTAGGAGACACAGTCGACATAAGTCGACACAAGTGTCGTTCTATCTTTGTTACTTTCTGAATATCAAGAAGGATAGAACGACGCTTGTGTCAACTTGTATCGATTTGTGTCATCAAATGGAAAGCAGTGTTGTCTTTACGTTTACCCTATGAGAAAATTATCGACCATCCTGCTTTTATCTGAATTGTCTACATTTCTGCATACAATTGCATGCAGGAGTAAAGAGAAGGTCGCTCGACACAGTTATGTTTTCCATCACTGCGCGTCGCCAAACGTCTCGATTCTTGTCGAGAGCCAAAGACTTATAACGTTTTCGGCCCGGCCAGGTTTGCACAAACCTGGGTTGGATTAATGCCGTTTTATGCTCTCCTATTGGTAGAGCAAGTGACGTCAACCAATAGGAAAAATTAATCCAACTAAGGTTGGTATGTACAAACACGAAAACGTTAATAGAGAATGGACTGCGCGATCCGTGTGTCAAAATGGTCGATAGAGATGAGAGAGAGGGACCGTAGCAGACGGCCATTTCTGTCTCTTTCCATTCAATGGTGTAATGGGAGAGAGAATGA